AATTCAAAATGGATTAAAGACCTAAATGTGAGACAGGAAATCATCAAAATCCTGGAGGAGAAAGCAGGCAGCAACCATTCTGATCACAGCTGGAGACACTTATTACTAGATACATTTCCAGAAGCAAGGAAAACAAAAGCAAGTATGAACTACTGGCACCTCATTAAGATAAAAAGCTTCTGCCCAGTGAAGGAATAATCAACAAAACTAAAAGGCTTAGAAACGGGAGACAATATTTGCAAATGATGTATCAAATAATCTGTTAGTATCCAAAATCTATAATTTCTCAAGCTCAACATCTAAAAAACAAATTATCCAGTTAAGAAATGGGCAAGAAGACATGAATAGACATTTGTTCAAGAAGGCTAGATAGCTAACAGACACATGAAGAGATGATCAACATCCCTTTCATCATAAGGGAAAACTCAAAACCATGATGCAATACCACCACACACATGTCAGAATGGCTGAAGTTAACAAGAAACAACAGATATTGGTGAGGATGTGGAGAAAGGGAAACCATCTTACACTATTGGTGGGAATGCAAACTGGTGCAGCAACTCTTGAAAACAATATACAGGTTCCTCAAAGAGTTAAAAATAGAACTATCCTACAATGCAGCAATTGCACTACTAGGCATTTACCCAAAGAATACAAAAATACAAATTCAAAGGGATACATAAACTCCCATGGTTTTGGCACTGTGGACAAGTCAACCTATGGAAAGAGCCCAAATGTCCACCAACTGATGAATGGATAAAGAAGACACAGTATATACATTCAATAGCATCTTTGTTAGCCATCAAAAAGAATGAAATCTTGACATTTACAACAAAACTGCTACAACTACAGTGTACGATACAAAATAAGTCAATCAGATAACAGTAAATATATGATTTCATTCATATATATATTAAATCATAATTTCATTCAACAATAACAAATGAAATACGGGAGAAGGAAAAAGAAAAGAGAGGGAAACAAATCACAAGAGACCTTAAAGACAGAGAAGAAACTGAGGGTTGATGGAAGAATGAGTTAAATAGGGGATGGGCACTAAGGAGGGCACTTGTGATGAGTACTGGGTGTTATATGTAAGTGATGAACCACTGACTTTTACTCCTGAAGCCACTAACTGTAGTGCATGTTAAATAACTGGAATTTAAATAAAAATTTAAAAAGAGAAATAAAATAAATTACCAGTAGGCAACAACAAAGAAATTAAAAAGTAGCATAAAAGGGAGTAAAGAGTCATGAAGCTAAAAAAATTCAACCTCTAGGATTTTATGACAGAAACATTAGAGGTAGAGTTATGATGGAACGGTTGACAGCTGCAACTGATGAATACTGTATTCCCAGATTAATACAGTAAACTCCTGGTATTTTAAATTAAAAAGTCACACCTTCTATGTCACAAAAATTGCAGTAAGCCAAAACCAACATCTTACAGCAAGCAGAAAAGAAAAACAGATTAAATTACTTATAAATCAATGTAAGATTCATATTGGATGTCTCAAAGTCAGTAATTCAACAATATCTTTAATGTATCACAAAGAAAATAACTCCCATACCACATTTATACATGTCCAGAGATATAACTTTTTAAGAATAAAAGCAAAGAAATGTTTCTTTTTAACAAATAAAAATTAATGAATACCTCTACCTAAGAAATCGGTGAAGGATTTATTTATTTCAGAAAAAAAGGAACACAGCCTTTGGAAAAAAGATCTGTGTTTCAAGAATAACAATAAGCCAAAAAGAAAAAATATATAAAAGTGAATAAATCCATATTAAATCTGAAAATGTAAAATAATTAAAATTATATCTATTTTATTGAAAAAAAGAAGAGGCATAAATAAAAATTTTTAAAAACATTAGAAGGGACGTAAACACAATTGTAGCAATCTAATGTTGCTTTGGATGGCGAGAAATTTCAAATAAAGTTAAACATTAAACTTAAACAAAAAAATATGAAAAATAACATACACATATATGTATACACCCACATATATTCCTATATATTGAATTGGTAAGACAAAAATGGAATGAGAAAATCAGACAAAAGAAAAAGAAACCTAAAAAGGTAAGGAAATTAAATTCTAACTAAGAAAAATTTCTGCAAATAATCAAAAATCACTGATTTTATGTGGATTTAAAAAAACTCCTTACATGGATTAAAAAATGATTTCTGTGTTAGTTACGTATAAGAAACATACCTAAAGCCTCAGTAAAATACACCATATGAAAGATATATAGAAGTAGAAACTCAGGAAAAGAGACCACTGCATTTATCTGTTTTATGAAAATTATAAAATCAGTAACAGCACAACAAACCCATCCGGGAGAGAAATACTACATATGAAAATACCTCAAGTACTTACTTACCCATATATACACACACTCGTACATCCAAGCACTACACATGCATTGTAAGTACCTGGGGCTTCTAAGAGTTTGTACATAATATAATGTATATTCTAAGAGTTTGTACATAATATAATGTATATATAAAGTATAATATAATATATACTTAAACAAAATTTTTTTAATGTTTATTTATTTTTGAGAGAGAGAGAGAGAGAGAGGGAGACACAGAGAGAGAGAGAGAGAGAGACACACACAGAATCCAAAGCAGGCTCCAGGCTCTGAGCTGTCAGCACATTGCCCAACGTAGGGATCAAACTCACAAGCCGTGAGATTATAACCTGAGCCGAAGTTGAAGGCCCAACCAACTGAGCCACCCACCAGGTGCCCGGTAAGTTGTATACTTTTACAGGCACCCCGTAGGTTGTATACTTCTAAAAGTCTACACTTGGAATAACCTAATGAAAAGTGATGAAGTTGAAGACAGAAATTTTAATTCTCTCACTAGTCTAACTCCAATGCATGTCCAAATATGTAACCTAGAAACTGCTGCTTTAGGAGACATGTGAAATGATGTCTATAAAAGCCAAATACTGGAAGTAACCCACCAGAAAAATGGATAAATGGATAATCTCAATGGGATATTATACAATAGTGAATAACTAAATTCAAGCCATAAACAAAAATATGGATGATTTTTCAAAGCCTAACACTGATTATAAAAAGCAATCAGAAATATATATAGCATAATATTTGTAATGCTCAAAATAAGGATATCATATATTCATATACAGTTATACACTGAAAGAGAATTATGACAAATTTTTGTCTCCTTTTGAGACTGAGAGACTCACAAGACTTGTGACTTGTGGAGAAAAACAGAAATAGATGTAATTGTATTAGAAAACATCAGTTCTGGGGTGCCTGGGTGGCTCAGTCAGTTAAGCAACCAAATTCAGCTCAGGTCATGACCTCACAATTTGTGAGTTCAAGATCCACATCAGCCTCTGTGCTGACAGTGTGGAGCCTGCTTGGGATTCTCTCCATCCCTTTCTCTGCCCCTCCCCTAATTGTGCTCACTCTAAATAAATAAATAAATAAATTTTTAAAAATATTAGGAAGGGGTGCCTGGGTGGCTCAGTCAGTTAAGCATCCGACTTTGGCTCAGGTCATGATCTCATGGTTTGTGAGTTCGAGCCCCACATTGGATTCTATGCTGACAGTGTGGAGCCTGGAGTCTGCTTTGGATCCTCTGTCTCCCTCTCTCACTGCCCTTCCCTGCTTCAGCACACTTTTTGTGCACTCTCCCTCTCTCAGAAATGAAGTATTAAAAAGTTAGTTCTCAGATTCAAACGTGGGCTTAAGGACATTATTTAATGTTATGTTTTATAACTGACAAAGAAACTATATATATTCTCTTATAGTTTCATGACATCCTGATCAGTTGTATCCAACTGCCAAATACTAATTCCAAGAATACCAAGATGTTAGTCAGGGAAACTACAGGTATTTCCTCCTTTTCTTATTTTATATTTTTAATTTTCTGCAGCTAATATAATACTTTTATTTAGGAAACTGAACTATTTTTTGTAAAAACAGACTGTTCAAGTGCTCCCATATATGTATACAAAGATATTATACCCTCACCCACATATGCAGTTAGGTAATACATACAGACTAGTGCTTAAGTCTTTCTGAAAATTTCTACCTTCTTAATTTGCTACTTTTGTTATCTGCATCAACTGTCTCATAATGCATTACTGGCCAACATTGTAGGATGACTATCAGAAAAGGAATAAACAGGAATAATTCCCCATAATACACAAGATGCACAATTTTTCAGTGTCTTCTTCACTCGTATTGTTTGATTCTCCATCAGAAATTTCTAATATGATTATTCATATTTAAAATTTTTTTAAATTTATTTATTTAGTTTGAGAGAGAAAACAAGAGAAAGAGCAAGGAAAGAACAGACAGAGGGAGAGAGAGAATCCCAAGCAGGCTCCACACTGTCATTGCAGAGCCGAATGTGGGGCTTGAACCCACAAACCATGAGATCAAGACTTGAGCCAAAATCAAGAGTCAGACGCTTAACTGACTGAGCCACCCAGTTACCCCAATTAGTGAAATTTTAGGACATGTAAATGGATCCAACTATATACATGATATTGTCTTGTACCAAAGGATAAAATTAGTAGTTTCTGTATTACTCCATCTGTTCCACATGATGAACACAAATAAAAACTCAATGAGGGTACTTCCCAATGCTTTTTATTCCAAACTATAAATATGAATATGAATAAAGTGATCATAGCACATGTTTTTCTTGATTATACAGTATCTTCGGTAAACTCGAAGTATGTACTTTCAGGGAAATAGGAGGGACCCTTGTGGCTCCTAACTGATAATGCTAAGATACCATACTATTCCTTGTGTTTTCTGCCACCACCAATGCAGAATGGAAGTTATGCAAATTCCGGGTTACTCACAGATCATCCACTGACAGTAAACCTTATCTATATTTCTATTTTGTAAAAAAAAAAGCTCTATACAGAAGGACTCACAAGAACAAATGGTTTCACATGCTAAAATGACTTTCTCTACCTGTACTGTTAATGAGTTACAGATCACATTACCTCCTCCTCAGGAGACAGGTTCTTTTTGCTACTGCTGACAGGGAAACCACTGCCAAATTCTTTGGAATGAATGTCTGCTCCATACTCAACCGTTACATCTTCTTCAATGCTGCTAACCAGCCTCCAGAATTCCTTCTCTACATGTTCTGTAGGTACCATCTGTGACAAAAGATGTAAAAAATGATCATAGCATGTTGTATTTTGGCCCCATGTCTCTATGAGCACTAAAACTATGAGACACTAATCCCCGTATCCCCATTCCACAATCACATACATGCACAGGCATGTTGAAGTAGTCAGCCTTGAAGGAATCTGCCATTTCACCAAAGCTCTGCAAAGTGTACTCCTGGGTAGCCTGCTCAAAGCCAAAGGCTTCAGGGGGCCTCTTACACTCCTGAAATAGGAAAGTATTTCAGCAAGAAAGGGCAAATAGTCAAAGAACATGAAAAGAACAGCAGGAGATACATTTTATGCTCTACTGCTACTTTTTGTTATGTTTCAAGGCCGGTGGTTTCTTTGGTATCTACTAAACCTTTTCCTTTGTTCCCATGGTTCACATCATTTGTATTATAACCCTTCCCTCTTAAATCTCTACAATCCTACAGATAGTCTGTCCAACCACTGTTGCTTATTAACTGATAGCTAATCAAAACCTGACAGAAGAATTAACTTATTTTTTTAATGTTTTATTTATTTCTGAGAGCAAAAGAGAGAGAGAGAGAGAGAGAGAGAGAGAGAGAGAGGGGGAGAGAGAGAAAGAGCATGAGCAGGAGAGGAAGAGAGACAGAGAGACACAAAATGTGAAGCAAGCTCCAGGCTCTGAGCTGTCAGACAGAGCCCAATGCAGGGCACAAACTCACCAACCGTGAGATCATTACCTGAGCCGAAGCTGCATGCTCAAATGACTAAGGTGGCTAGATGCCCCTAAAGTATTAATTTATAAAAGGGCAGCAACTCACACCTATTCTATACTCACTTAAAACCAGGAGGCTAGATTTTAAAAAATTACAAAGAATGAAATTTAAAATATTAATAGTCAACAGGCATACCGCCATGATACACTTTGGGCATCTCCAGACCCCTCTAGGGATTTCAGGAAGCGGTGGCATTAGGCAGAAGATGTGGTAATTGTCACCACAGCCATCACAAAGAAGAAGTTTGTCAACTTCATCCCCTCGGGAGCATATTCGGCAAACATAGGTCTCAACCTATGAGGAAAAATAAAATAAAATTATAAGCTGCTTGCTCCATGACATCCTGTCCCAGGTTTCCACACCATTTATTTTAAGCATGTACCACCAATCAACAACTATGTCATATTCTACTCATGAGTTCACTACTTAGTGAAAATATAACATGACATAAACAATTATTAAATAATACAACATGTCGGGGCGCCTGGGTGGCGCAGTCGGTTAAGCGTCCGACTTCAGCCAGGTCACGATCTC